TATACCGTCTGCTGTAGATTAGATCGAAGCCAGCCATGCAATACTGCCTACTATATATTAGGTTGAAGCCAATAATGCTATACCGTCTGCTGTAGATTAGATCGAAGCCAGCCATGCAATACTGCCTACTATATATTAGGTTCAAGCCAATAATGCTATACCGTCTGCTGTAGATTAGGTCGAAGCCAGCCATGCTATACTGCCTACTATATATTAGGTTGAAGCCAATTATGCTATACCGTCTGCTGTAGATTAGATCGAAGCCAACAATGCTATACTGTGTGCTATAGATTAGGTCGAAGCCAGCCATGCTAAACCATCCGCTGTAGATTAGGTCGAAGCCAGCCATGCTATACCGTCTGCTGTAGATTAGGTCGAAATCAGCCATGCTATACTGCCTACTATATATTAGGTCGAAGCCATTTATGCTATACTGTCTGCTGTAGATTAGGTCAAAGCCAGCCATGCTATACCGTCTGCTGTAGATTAGGTCAAAGCCAGCCATGATATACTGCCTACTATAGATTAGGTCAAAGCCAGTTATGCTGTACTGTCTGCTGTAGATTAGGTCGAAGCCAGCCATGCTATACTGTCTGCTGTAGACTAGGTCAAAGCCAGCCATGCTATACTGTCTAATGTAGATTAGGTCGAAACCATTCATGTTATAATCTCAGCTGTAGACTAGGTAGAAGCCAACCATGCTTTATAGAATCCGATCACAACTAACTAGCACCTGTTCAATAACCAAGAATATAGTCCCAGTCTTTTATAGAGCATCTTTTCCTATGTTCTTTTGTGGTGACACAAGAGTTAGATTTTGACATTTTTTTGTAATGGATCTGAAGATAACTGTTTATTCTTTTAGAATATGAGTTTATGGCGTGGTTATCTGTGTATGTTTTGGCAATAGGCCTTGGTGATGATCCAGAAGTGATATCTTTGCTCCATTGCACATTTTTTTCTTTACAACCCAGCCTTTCAAAGAAATGCAGGATTCGGCTAATGTAGATATGTGAGAAAGCTTGCCAGTAGCTTCTCGTGGGTCGGTGGTTCTTTCCGGTGATTTCCCGGTTTCTTCCTCCACCATTAATACTGGCCGCCATGAATAGCCTATCGTGTGCTGAAAAATGGCGTTAAGCCCAACAACAAACAACAAACAACAAACAAATCAAAGAAATGCTGGTGGACCTATGACAAGGACGTAACTGTGAGTTCACCTTTAAGGTACTTTAGAATGAGATATGATTTATTATCATGTTTGGATACAAAGAAAAGTTCAGTACTGAGAAACAGATATAGAGAATATATAACAAAATTAATTGTTATTAAAAATTAATTGTGTTCTAATTCCATTCTGCCTATTGTAGAATATTTCGAAATTATTAATGCAATACTGCCTAGTCTAAAAGTAAAATCTTCTAACCCAAATGTCTATTGTTTTTTTTTATGAATTAGTCATATAAAATCGTTTTAGTTCTTCATAGGCACTTGGAGTAGTCAAAATGCAATCGACATCATATTTCGCAAAACTGACATTAACCTAGTTCTCAAGCCGAGAATGATCTCTTACACATGTATCCGACTGCAGCCATGTTAAAGCACGTGCTTCTCGTTAAAGACAGAAGCAAGCGACATGATATAACCGCAATGAGACAAGAAAAGAAAGAAATTCAATTGTACTGGAGTCTTCTCCCACATTGGTGAAGACAAATTTAATGTCGGTGTTAACAAGGAAATCCAGGTCTTGGAGTTTCTTGCAGCTTGCGTGGCAGTCTCCTAAAAGACATTTAGCGTAACTTTTCAACAGGGTTTTCTTGTCTCGATGCCAACCCCAACATCGATGGAATAAATTTGTGTCTCATATACAGCGCATAAATTCGGTTGTTTTCTTTTTATACAGTTATCTTAATAGCAACCTCTAATGGCAGCGAGTTTTGCATATATATAGTGATCCAAATGAAATAGTATAGTTTCCTGTTTCTTATGATTTACACCACATATAAATATTTCGACAATAAATACAAAAGTCAAAACAAATAATATCAAAGAAGACAAAGATGTATTTTTTTCTTTACAAAAATGGCATTAAATCATAAAATATAATTAATGTTAAACATTTCCACAACATAAGGAATGTCCGGAAACAAACATAATTAATTTTTTCAGTGGTTAGGGGTATGCAGGTGAGAGACGTAAAATGGAAATTAAAGAGTTCACACCGATTGAATTTGCATACCACAGAGCGCTATATGTGTTTTAAATGGCCTCGTAATCAGATACTCACAGCCGACAAACTCGGTATCATACATTCATCAACATTTGGAACTTTAAAAAGTAAACTATCAAGGCATATGAAACAGCTCCAGCGATATGACTGAAACTGATACAAAACGTATTGAAAAAAGTTTAGTTTATGCCTCACCTGCTTAACAACGCTATTAAGGATTGTGAAAATGCATGTAAATCAGATTTATTCCTTAAAAGAAAGCAACCACATGCTGATTAGTTAATGTTAACATTTACTGGATAAAGAGATAATTGTATTTTGCTTTTACTGTCATAAATTAAATAAAATAGTTATTATTATTAATATTATTATTATTAATATTATTATTAATATTATTATTATTATTATTATTATTATTATTATTATTATTAGTAGTAGTAGTAGTAGTAGTAGTAGTAGTAGTAGCAGTAGTTGTAGTAATAGTAGTTGTAGTAGTAGTAATTAAACGTTTACGTTATTGTATGAATGTCAAAATAAACGAAGATTTTGACTGCCAACAAAACCAGTGCTGTTGAATATAGAGCAGAGGAGGTCTTGATCAATAGATATCCGACGATAGAGTGGAACCGTATTCACACGACTTTGAAGTGGATACGATCATGTGTTTGCAACTTCGTAGAAGATATACTTACGTATTTGTAGACTACGAAGTGGATATACTCCTGGATTTGTAGATTTAGAAGTTCATATGCTAGTGGATTTGCTGACTTCGAAGTGGACATATTCATGCATTTATAACCAAAAAGAAAATACTCTTGTGTATGTGTGGACTTCAAAATGGATATAGTTACAGATTTGCTGATTGAAGTGGATACACTCATCTATTTGCTGACTTTGAGGTGGATATACTCATGTCTTTGCTGAATTCGAAGTGGATATACTTCTGTATTTGTTAACTTCAGAGTGGATATACTAATGTGTGTACTGACTTCGAAGTGGATATACTCACGGATCTGCTAACATAGAAGTAGATACACTCATTATTTTCTGATATATTGTGGATATGCTCATGCATTTGCTGACTTGAAAGAGGTTATACTCGCGGGTCTGCTGACTTCGAAGTGGATATGCTCATGTATTTGCTGACTTTGAGGTGGATTATACTATTATTTATCGTCTACTTTCCTGTCAACGTTTAACACATTTTCCAAAACTCTATTTAATAAAACTTCTTGGTGAAATGTTTTCAACGCTTGAAACTAATATCGTATATTGTGAAATTTATGCATAATCCATCTTTCTGCGATTTTGTGACAGTGTCACAAATTGTAAAATTTTAACCATGAGGAATAAAGAAAATGGCATTTAACAAAGAAATAAAAAATCTCCAACATGTAAAGTTTTTAAAATCAGAAAATTCGTTATATAACAATGTACAAAATTCCCGTTCATTAATTCCCGGTAATCTTGAATGTGGCTGCTAGATTGGCCGAATTGTGTGTGTGTGTGTGTGTGTGTGTGTGTGTGTGTGTGTGTGTGTGAGTGTGCGTGTGTGTGTGTGTGTCTGTGATTTTAGGGGGAAGGCATATTTTTTTATTAATTTTGTTTTCACAGCGAGATGCAGGGAACTTGCCAAGCATGAATGGCAGACCACATACTCTTGTACGTGCAGGAAGAAAGGTTTCAAACCAGATTGCATTGTGACAATGAGTGTGCATTACTGAAACTCTTTCCAGGTCCCAAGGCTCCAAGTGGCAGATTGGTTTAAAGCGTTGTCCGTTATGGGTCACTGCCATCTCATCTCTGTCTGCGTTCGAGTCTGGGATTCGGCGAATGTGGATATGTGAGAAAGCTTGCCATTAGCTTCTCATGGCTGGTTGATTCATTTCAGTGATTTCCCGGTTTCTTCATCCACCATTAATTCTGGCTGCCATCTATAGCGTTTCGTGTGCTGAAAAATGGCGTTAAACCCTACAACAACAACTTTCAGGCCCATCAACAACCGAAGCATAACAGTAGAAAGAAACATTCGGAACACACCTGGGTTTCTGCAGCGTCCACAATCTCTTCGCAGTAAACACCGATGTATTCAGAATATACCAGGAAGCGGACTGTTTCTTACCTATTGTTGGAACTGTGTGTGAAATGACTTCACCCAGTTTCAGCTTATATAATAATGTAGTTTTCCCAACTGCGTCTAAACCTGAAAGCAACAAAAAGCAAAATAATTAGTTGTTCGTAAACGTGGTTTATTTGTAAAGAGTATGACTCCCTCTGTTATTATGGTTTGTTTTTTTTACCACTGTGTAAGACAAAAAACCTAATTAACTAGACCCATTAGCAATGATTTACAGATAGAGCAAAACACATTATCAGGTGAAAGTGTATATGTGTGGGTAAATGAATGCATGTATGTGTGGGTAACACAGTCATCCTAAGTGAAAAACGATTGATAACAAGGGAGATGGAGGCACTACTGCCGGCGCATTGTGAAGTAAGTGAGCTAATAATCCATTTGTAATCGGAAGGGCGGTTTTGTTGGACGGTTTTTTTCGTTAATTTTTTATTCTATTAAAGCAGTCACCATTAACTTTTCTTTGACACCAACTTTAAGTGGACAGTACATGGCTTCTACCCTAAGCAATCCTTATATTTCCGTAAATAAAATAAAATAGCAACTGAGAACACTGGGATAATTTAAAAAGATGCTGATGGCCCTAGCTTAAGTGTCAAAACATAAACCAAGACACAAAATTAGTTCGCTTAAGGGACTGCTCCAATGGCCTAGTGGTTAGAGCATCCACCTCGGATGCGGAAGATTGCGGGTTCGAACTCCGACCAAGCCATACCAAATAAAATAATTGGTACTAACAGCTGCCTCCCAAGGCCCTCAGCATTAAAAGGTCAGTGTTAGGACTGGTCGGCCTAGTGTCAGGATATCATAGGTGGGACATCATGCTATGTGTCTGCGGCATGATGCCCCAGTGCTAGACATCAGTATAAACTTCCACACTGCAGACATCGCAGCGAAATGAATAAAAAATTGTTAAAGCTATGTTAAACACACACACACACACACACACACACACACACGGAGTCGCTTAATGGATGAAGACCTATTATGCAGAAGCTATTACATCTTTTTATAGACCCGCTCAGTCTGGCGTGACAAACACATGACCAAGTACTTGTTCGAATCTTGGCATCGGATAAGATGGAGTCGGTTACCTTAGTTTATTCCTGGACAAGTGTTACTTTCGTTTTGCATTTATGTCGTGGAACATCAAACAAGGAATTTATTCATATTCGAGAAAATTCTAGGTCTTCTCAAAGTAGGGATATTACATGCACACAGTTTTGCAATCGAATAAGGAGTAAAATTTTTAATGTTTAGTCAAATTATAAGTCTGATAAATCATTAAGGAGTCAAATTATATGTCTTGTCAATCAATAAGGAGTCAAATTATATGTCTTGTCAATCAATGAGTCAAATTATATGTCTGATACATCAATTAGGAGTCAACCTCCACTCTCTCATAAATCAATTATAATTATAGCGTTAATTACTATACATTTTTCACCAGACTTCAAAATCTCTCCTACAAATGTATCTTTTTAAAACCTTTGCTTAAGATACCTCTCGGAATTATGGGAATTGCTTCGTCATTGGTGTAGAGAAAATGGTGGTTAAACATTAACTCTTCAATTACTTTTAATCTCAGAAACACAAAGTAAATAGGAATTCTTGCAATTTTATTAAAAAATATAATAAAATATTTCCTGGATAGAACTTGGAATATTATCACTATATTTAAATTCTTGACCCCGGGATAAATATTCACCGAAAGGAATGTTGGTGTAAACGAAGAAATAGGAAAGGTATTTAAAGATCTCAGTCTGAGGAAGAAAAATTTGGAGTTTTTAATGAAAATGGAATTCTAGTGAAACTGGAACCCAAGCTTTAACTTCAAGATCTAACGACCATCAGATTTTTTTTTCAACGTTTACCAGCAATCTGTTGAAGGAGTCTGATCGTCACAGTGATGTCTGGAATTCATATGAATTTTAATGAAAAACACCCAGACGTTTAAAAAACAGCTCATTTGTTAAATACAATGTCGTAAATTTTCTCAAGCAGAAGCTATTAAAAAATTGCAGAAATATTTTATACAAGAAAAGTAGCAACCACTGAAATATCAGTGCTGATTTTTTTTTATAACCAGGGGTCGAGCCGTCATCTTCAAACATTTTATATGAGGAGCGTTGTTGTGATCTTAACCTATGACCTAACAATAGCAGCTAGGTTTTGTGCTGTCCCCAATATGATATCACCCACTACTTTGATAATTATTAAATCCTATAATTATACAAATCGAATTGAAAGAATGAATAAAAAAAAAGCGTAAGAGAAACAAATTTAACGGTGGGGAAGGTATTATTTTGATAGTGAAAATAATTCAGTACTGGGACTTGAAATATGTTTAGCAGATGTCGACAGGACAGTCTGATCTAATTTGTTACAAAATTTGTTAAATGCTTCATAAACAAATTTTAGGTAAAATACATAATGTTTATTATATTACAAGGTGACAAATAAATGCACTGAAATATAAATGGTTTGTTACAGAAGTACATTTTAATTATGTATACACGTAAGTTGGCATATACTGCACACACTACACTCATTACTACCCAAACGTTATGTATCTTTTTACGCATGCGCCTTGACTTTGAAGGGTTCCCAATCAGGGGGAGATAACAAACCTTTTTCGGAAAGGGCTAAATCACAAAAATTAAATGACATACAATGTGCAATAAATTCCACAGAAATTTAAAGATACTTTCATTCCACATTCACGTCAACAAAGCACAATACATTTCTGCAAACTTCTGTATACACAAGTCATTGCACGTACCAAATGGATGGCACCATAAACTTTAATGAAGCATCAACTCCAAATATGTTTCTTATTATCGTCTTAACCATTTAGCGAAATGAACCGTATTATCCATGGGTGCTGGGAAAAATATATGTTGACTTCACTAGAATAGCATTCAGTGTTTTGAGCATTTGTTGATGCAGACGACATTCCATTCATTTATGAAATTTTGGACCACAAAAAATGCCTGACATATTTATACAAGACTAAAATCATTAGGTCGTTGATTCAGATAATGCTTGAACTTGTATGAAATTTGTGCAATTTTTTTTTGTATCATATCAACCGATCTGATAAACCACATATTTAGAAATATCTTATATATAAGAACCTTATTTATGTACATAGTATGTTTCGTAAGTGAAGTTTAGTTTGTTTTTCTTTTGATTGGGAGCATGCAATCTGCGGCGCATTCGTATGTCTCAGTATGAAAGTCCAACATCTGCCGAATGATGCAAAATTTCTCAAGCTAAGAAAAAGAAACAAACGTCTAGATAGAAAGGAGTGTATTCCATGTAGTCATTTTCCATAATACCAACTGCTGTGATTGAAGCAGATGCATATGTTTCAAAAGATATTAAAAAGCGCTGACCAAAGCAATTTTAGCATGATGAAGTATACAAAGCAGACACCATGGTTGTAACGTGTGAAACCTTAGGAGGATGTAAGTTATTCCCTATTAACTATTACCGGCCCCAAATTGATACCAAGATAAGATCTGCAAGTTACAATAAATAAACTATAAAACTCTCTTGCTCTCTGAAAGGCACGTGCTGTTTTCTCGCTCGAGAAAATGTATTGATATATTTCCCGATATCAAAAACAGCTATCCAATTAAAGTGAAAGATCTGCGTCTGCATCAGTGTATCAAACTACGCTAAGTTCAAGTGTCTTAAAATGCGTTATGCTCGTGTTGTTTTTCATGTCTGTCTTGTAGACCTCTCCAGAACACTGATGGCACTGCGACAGGCAGAATTTCATCAGAAGTTAGAATATTTGATGGTCCAAATGTCATAAATACTAGGCATTCAGCATTAAAAGGCTAGTTTTTAGGACTGGTCGGCCGGGTGTCAGGATAATGTAACTGGGTGAGACATCATGCTATATGTATGTGGCATGATGCCCCAGTGATAGACATCACTATAAATTATCACAATGCAGTCGTCGTAGCGATGTGACTGGAAAATTGTTAAAGCTACGTTAAAAATCCATCACACACACACACACACACACACACACACACACACACACACACACACACACACACACAAAGACAAGTGTCAGTCGAACCATGTCGTTTTCGGCAAGATTCGAATCTCCGACACCACGACAAACTGAAATACGGCATGTATTTTAAATGCGAGTCAGGCATGTTAACAACATAAATAAATGTAATCTGATCGAAACCGTGTGCAAAATCCAAAACAATAGCCAATGTGTAACAAGCATACTTACTCTAGTATGTCAAAATTTAAAAGCAAATCCTTTGTCAACGTCATTGCTCGATTGCCGTTTTCATAAATTCTCATTTTCATGTGTTTCATTGCTGTACTGTTTTTGGGACATATATAAAGTCTAACGGAAATTTTCCACATAGGTATCGTCTGCAAAATTTACAAAATTCAATATGTGGCGTTTATGTGTTTTCGCGATTCTCAGCCACGCAGATGGGATAATCTGGCTACCTGCCATTAAAGCTACGTATTCGTCTGGTGTCACAAATAACATTAATGTTGACTGCTGAAGCTCATTATTGCAGTGTGTACAATAGGTCTACATCATGTATGGCAATGCGTATACTAGGTCTATATTATGTATGGCAATGCGTATACTAGGTCTATATTATGTATGGCAATGTGTACACTAGGTCTATATTATGTATGGCAATGTGTACAATAGGTCTACATTATGTATGACAATGTGTACAATAGGTCTACATCATGTATGGCAATGCGTATACTAGGTCTATATTATGTATGACAATGTGTACACTAGGTCTATATTATGTATGGCAATGTGTACACTAGGTCTATATTATGTATGGCAATGTGTATACTAGGTCTATATTATGTATGGCAATGCGTATACTAGGTCTATATTATGTATGGCAATGCGTATACTAGGTCTATATTATGTATGGCAATGTGTACAATAGGTTTACATCATGTATGGCAATGTGTACACTAGGTCTATATTATGTATGGCAATGCGTATACTAGGTCTATATTATGTATGGCAATGCGTATACTAGGTCTATATTATGTATGGCAATGCGTATACTAGGTCTATATTATGTATGGCAATGCGTATACTAGGTCTATATTATGTATGGCAATGTGTACACTAGGTCTATATTATGTATGGCAATGCGTATACTAGGTCTATATTATGTATGGCAATGCGTATACTAGGTCTATATTATGTATGGCAATGCGTATACTAGGTCTATATTATGTATGGCAATGCGTATACTAGGTCTATATTATGTATGACAATATGTACAATAGGTTTACATCATGTATGGCAATGTGTACACTAGGTCTATATTATGTATGGCAATGCGTATACTAGGTCTATATTATGTATGGCAATGTGTACAATAGGTTTACATCATGTATGGCAATGTGTACACTAGGTCTCTATTATGTATGGCAATGTGTACACTAGGTCTATATTGTGCATGGAAATGTGTACACTAGGTCTATATTATGTATGGCAATGCGTATACTAGGTCTATATTATGTATGGTAATGTGTACACTAGGTCTATATTATGTATGGCAATGTGTTCACTAGGTCTACATCATGTATGGCAATGCGTATACTAGGTCTATATTATGTATGGCAATGTGTACTTAGGTCTACATCATGTATGGCAATGCGTATATTAGGTCTATATTATGTAT